ATTTTCGTATGGTATTTATTGTTGTATTCTAGTTTTCTTGGTCTCATTTTATAGAATGGAAGACATATTACAGAAATTGAGATGATTTTGACTGGTTTTACAATGAAAGGTGCCTTGAAATTGAGCTCAAAGTAGCAGAAATGTTCGATTTTTACCAAACTTCAAAAGTAAACAAATCGTGCCAAGCGTGCAATACACGTCAACTGGTGAGTCTAATATTCTTTCACAAGTGCACCAATAATATTTTTACCATTTTTTACACTAATGCAGTAGTCTGCATAACAGTAAATCTTATATTTTTTGTGAAAATAAAAATTCAAAGTGGAAAGCAAAAGAATATAAGAGGGGCCTTGAGACGTGACTAATGACTAGAGGAAATGTCATTTTAGTGCCAGGAATGTCTTTCTTGTTTATTCTGGACCCTATTCGGAAATTGGCATCTTTTGAAATTTGTGTGAAATTGGCAAAATTGCTAAATTCTGACCACTGTACTGGATAGTTGAATTTCATAAATGGGTGGTTTCTTGCACCCATTCGATAGACAAAATGGAGTTCTAGCGAAATATTCATGTTTTTTGTCGACTAGTACAGTGAAATTGGCCGAAAATAGGGCTCAAAGTGGGCAAAATCGCTGATGCGTAAACATCTCCAAGACCGCTAACTTTGCGAGAGCATAATTCCGTAAGTTTTCTATCAAATTTCAAACCTTTGGTGTCTTTATGATTGGGAAAAGATTCTCTATCATTTCATAAGAGAAAATAATTTTTTTTTTTTTTTAAATTTGGCCGACCCTGAGAACGAGTTTCGGAGAGGGCCTGTCGACCCTCAAAGGGTTAAGCATTAAACCCACAAGGGTCACTAGGGAAGTGTTCATTGCAATTATGGATTTAGAAAAGGCATATGATAGAGTGGATAGAGGAGGAATGTGGCAGATGTTGCAAGTATATGGAATAGGTGGTAAGTTACTAAATGCTGTAAAGAGTTTTTATGAGGATAGTGAGGCTCAGGTTAGGGTGTGTAGAAGAGAGGGAGAATACTTCCCGGTAAAAGTAGGTCTTAGACAGGGATGTGTAATGTCACCATGGTTGTTTAACCCTTTGACAGTTTCAGGCCCCTTTCTGAAACTGTCATTCTATGTCGCTCAATTTTTGAAAGAAAAAAAATTTTTTTTTTATGAAATGATAGAGAATCTTTTCCCGATGATAATGACACCAAAAGTTCGAAATTTGGTCGAAAACTCCTGGAATTATGCTCCCGCGAAGTTAGCGGTCTCGGCGACATATGCGTATCGGCGATTTCGCCGACTTTGAGCCCTATTTTCAGCCAATTCCATTGTTCCAGTTGACCAAACTCATAGCTATTTCTTTAGAACTCCATTTTATCTATCAGCTGAGTACAAGAAACCTCCCATTTACTAATTTGGACTACCCAATATGGTGGTCAGAAATTGGCAATTTGGCCAATTTCACGCAAACTAAAAAAGATGCCAATTTCAAAATAGGGTTCAGAATAAACAAGGTAGACATTTGTGGCACTAAAATAACATATGCTCTGTTCATTAGTCACATCTCTAGGCCCTTCTTATATTATTATTGCTTTCTATTTTGATTTTTTATTCATACAAAAAAATACAAAATTTACTGTTATGCAGACTACTGCATTATTGCAAAAATGGTATAAATAATATCAGTCCACTAGGGAAATAATATTAGACTCCCCAGTTGACGTGTACTGGACGTGTGGTGTGATTTATTTACTCCTGAACATTGGTAAAAATCGAACATTTCCGCTACTTTGAGCTCAGTATTCCTTGTGGCTTAGTGCTTCTTTTTTGATTATAATAATAATTGAGCTCAGTTTCAAGGTCGTTTTCATCGTCAAAGTAATGAAAATCATCTCTATTTCTGTAATATGTTCTCCATTTTATCACCTCTAAGACCATGAAAACGCGAATACAACGATAAATACTATACGAAAATACACCTCAAAGTCGGCGTTTTATTCCCAAAAAACGATCAGTTTTTTTTTCTCATTACGCAATGTGTGCTGCAGGATTTTTTTTATGTGGTGCACACTGACCACACAGACCCATTCTCTCACATGTGGGCCTACCAGCTTTCTCCCGCTTGATTTGAAGCCGCTAGAATTGTTGAGTATATATACGTCAGAAACATTGGCTCGTAAGACGTATTTATACGTCGAAAACAGTCAAAGGGTTAATATATTTATAGATGGGGTTGTAAAAGAAGTAAATGCTAGGGTGTTCGGGAGAAGGGTGGGATTAAATTATGGGGAATCAAATACAAAATGGGAGTTGACACAGTTACTGTTTGCTGATGATACTGTGCTTTTGGGGGATTCTAAAGAAAAGTTGCAAAAGCTAGTGAATGAGTCTGGGAGGGTGTGTAAGGGTAGAAAGTTGAAAGTGAATACAGATAAGAGTAAGGTGATGAGGGTATCAAACGATTTAGATAAAGAAAAACTGGATATTATATTGGAGGGAGGGAATATGGAAGAAGTGAATGTTTTCAGATTTAGGTGTTGACTTGTCAGCAGATAGGTTTATGAAGGATGAGGTAAACCATATAATTGACGAAGGAAAAAAAGGTGAGTGGTGCACCGAGGTATCTTTGGAGACAAAGAATGTTATCCATGGAGGCAAAGAAGGGTATGTACACCCAAATAAGAGTTTATTTGGGTGTGAAGCATGGGTTGTAAATGCTGCAGTGAAGAGGAGGCTGGAGGCAGTAGAGATGTCGTGTCTAAGGGTAATGTGTGGTGTAAATATTATGCAGAGAATTCGTAGTGTGGAGTTACTAAAAGTATTAGTCAGAGGGCTGAAGAGGGGCTGTTGAAGTGGTTTGGTCATTTAGAGAGAATGGAAGGAAGGCAGGGCAGGGGTTGCACCCGAAAATGTTGGAGGGGGTAAAGGAGATTTTGTGGGTGAGGGGCTAAGACTTCCAGCAAGCATGCGTGAGCGTGTTAGATAGGAGTGAATGGAGATGAATGGTTTTTGGGACCTGATGAGCTGTTGGAGTGTGAGCAGGTTAATATTCTGTGAAGGGATTCAGGGAAACTGGTTAGCTGGACTTGAGCCCTGGAAATGGGAAGTACAATGCCTGCACTTTAAAGGAAGGGTTTAGGATATTGGCAGTTGGGAGGGACAGCAATTATGTATGAGTGATGGTGAAAGTGTTGAATGATGATGAAAGTTTTTTCTTTTTTTTCTGGGTCACCCTGCCTTGTTGGGAAGCAGCCAACGTGTTAAAAAATAAATCCTTCCCTGATAGTACTCGACCCTTTTAATCATCTCTCTCATGTTTTCCTTCTCTCTTACACTCCTGACTCATTCCCTGATAGTACTCATTTATGTCATGTTTCCCTTCTCTCTTACATCTCTTGCTCACTCATCACGTACAGTATCATGCCCAAATTCACCCGCTACTTCTCCTTTTTCAAATACCATACACCTAGCTACTTCCTCTCCCACTCACTGTCATCTAAGCACTACCCACCTCGCCTCACCCCTAATCTTAATAGAGAGAATTTTATTTAGCTCAATGGCTGTCGACTGCCAAGGCAGGATAGCCCAAAGAAAATGCATTAAGAAAAGATATCCGCCCTAAAACACGACGTCTAGGTAGAAGTCCCACCACATGCTATATGACAGAAGGATCAGTGTGGTATACAACAGCACACAGAATCACAAAGGCAATAAGTCACAATACTGTGATTGGAACAAGTCAACTCTCAAAATGAAATTGAAAACTGAACAATGTTTCCATTTCATTCCAGGACAAACTGCAATGTCCAGTTTTTGTATTCTATTTGATGTTAACTGGGTGTTATAAAAGAAAAAAAACTGGAGACAGCAACCACAATTCTGACAGCTCTAGAGGATAAACTGCAATATTCCCAAATAGGCATCATATACTAAGGAAATACAGACAACAGTTTGATGCTAATGATTAGGATCTAGTGTTTTAAGTAGCTAGAAAACTTGAACAAAGGCAAATTCCATGACTGCACTGAAGGAACAGCCACATGACCCAAAGTAATAGTAGTAATCTATAACCTTCCTGAACAACAAAATAATGGCAGTATGAGAACAAGGCCATAATACTGAGAAAAAAAAATACGAAAGCAAATAGTAAAAAGACATTGGTTACAGTGGAGTCCATAATTGGTATAATATTTCACCTACAGATGGGCCTTTTCAAGGACTCCACTACAAGTAGTGTCTTTTTTTACCACTTGTTGGCACCCCACCTCGAATTTCTATAATAATAATAATTTTTATTTCCACAAGTGCATGTACAAGGTATACAGGCATAGCTAAAAGTAAATAGTCATTGGGATTTCTGGACAGCTGAAAAAACTGCAGATGCAGTTCAAATATACAAGCAAGAGACACCTATTTACAGCCCCACGCTGCTAATGTGTGTAATCTCCCAAGTATTACTAAACATAATCAGAAAGAGGTTGGTGGAACACCTAAAGGAATGATTTTGTTGCAGAAAACTAGAGCAGATTCAGGGAAGGGAAATCAAGTAAGTGTCATGATCTGGTTGGAACTCTATGACAGAATGATAGAGATCAAGCAAGAAAGAAAAAGATAGCCTACATTTTCTAGAACCATGGGAAAACTACTGACAAACTGAATTTAGGAGAATGATCCACAAATTAGAGAAGTAGGCGGAGGTGCAAAGAAAAATGCTATAATGAATCAAGGAATACTTAAGGAACAAGAGTGTGTAAAGATAAGGGAGGAGACCTCAGGATGGGAAAGATAATGGAGGAGGCCTCAGGATGGGAAAGATAATGGAGGAGGCCTCAGGATGGGAAAGATAATGGAGGAGGCCTCAGGATGGGAAAGATAATGGAGGAGGCCTCAGGATGGGAAGATAATGGAGGAGGTCTCAGGATGGGAAAGATAATGAGGAGGCCTAGAATGGGAAAGATAATGGAGGAGGCCTCAGGATGGGAAAGATAATGGAGGAGGCTCAGGATGGGAAAGATAATGGAGGAGGCCTCAGGATGGGAATGATAATGGAGGAGGCCTCAGGATGGGAAAGATAATGGAGGAGGCCTCAGGATGGGAAAGATAATGGAGGAGGCCTCAGGATGGGAAAGATAATGGAGGAGGCCTCAGGATGGGAAAGATAATGGAGGAGGCCTCAGGATGGGAAAGATAATGGAGGAGGCCTCAGGATGGGAAAGATAATGGAGGAGGCCTCAGGATGGGAAAGATAATGGAGGAGGCCTCAGGATGGGAAAGGTACTATAATAGTATTATGCTAAACTTCACACAAGTGTAATATAACTGGCTTCTCTTTCTGGATGGGTATTTTAACTTGGTATGTTAGTATTATTTGTGTCAAGTGTTTATGTTCATTACTTTTATTGTTTGTTAACTTTATCCTTGTTTTTATTGTGTTGTTTATACATTATGTTTATACCAGTGAGCTCTGAGTAACCTACATCATTAAAACACTCCAGAAATGTCACACTAACTTACAACTAATAGCTAGGCTTTCTGAAGATGTATTCTACTGTATTTATAGCTTTGAAAATGTTGCTTTGATCTCTCCCTTGCTCATCTGAGCCATAGCAGCAATTTTCACATCTTCACTCTGTAGCATCGACATATTCAATATCCTCTGCAAAGAAAGAAACATAAAAATCATTATAACAGAAATGAGAAGATGGCTATAACTTGTGAATATAAACACCACACAAGGCAAAGCCTTTATAGTACAAAACATTTTGTTTGAGAAGAGCTTTATGGAGGTCATCATACAGAACACCAAAATACAGTCATAATGAAGAAGAGCATAAAAATGAGAGTAGACAGAGTGAGACAAGTCTATAAGGGAAGAACTGTGCCTCAATGTATTTCATGAAGTAATTTTGCTCTGCCCAGCCATAATACCACAAGAGGTGAAGAACCTCTTGGTCTGTTCTATGGAGTCCATACTTTCCGTGACAGCTGCCTCTAAGCATTTTTTTTAACCTGTATCTGTTAACCCATTGACTGTTTCGGTCGTATATATAAGTCTTACGAGTCACCATGTTTGACGTATATATACTCAAAAATTCTAGCGGCTTCAAATCAAGCAGGAGAAAGCTGGTAGGCCCACATTGAGAGAATGGGTCTGTGTGGTCAGTGTGCACCATATGAAACAAAATCCTGCAGCAAGCAGTGCATAATGAGAAAAAAAAAATTCAACCATTTTTTTAATTAAAATGCCGAATTTGTGGTCTATTTCCATATAGTATTTATGGTTGTATTCTTGTTCTCATTTGATAGAAATAGAGGTGATTTTGATTGGTTTTACTATGAAAAGAACCTTGAAATGGAGCTCAAAGTAGGGGAAATGTTTGATTTTTTGCCAATGTTCAAAAGTAAACAAATGATGTCATTTTCCAATAAATGTCCAAGTAGTCATTCTAATATGCAGTCATGAATGGGTTGACATTATTTATACAATTATTACAGTATTGCAGTAGTCTGCATAACAGTAAATCTTATATTTTTTTGTTTGAATAAAAATTCAAAATAGAAAGCAAGAGAAATATCAGAGGGGCCTGGAGATGTGACTGATGAACAAAGAAAACATTATTTTAGAGCCAGGAATGTCTGCATTGTTCATTCTGGACCCTATTCTGAAATTGTCATATTTTTTAATTTTCATGAAACTGGCCAAATCACAAATTTCTGACCACGTTATTGGGTAGTTGAAATCAGTAAATGGGCAGTTTCTTGTACTCAATCGATAGAAAAAAATGGAGTTCTAAAGAAATTGCTATGAGTTTGGTCGACTGGAACAAGGGAATTAGCCGAAAATAGGGCTCAAAGTGGGCGAAATTGCGATTTGTAAATATCGCCGAGGTCGCTAACTTCGAGAGAGCGTAATTCCATCAGTTTTCCATTAAATTTCACCCTTTTGGTGTCATTACAATTGGGAAAAGATTCTCTAAAATTTCACAAGATAAAATAATTTTTTTTTTTTTGAAATTTCGCGACACCAGGAGACACCTCAGGATTTGGGGTTGCAACAGTCAAAGGGTTAAATGACATTTTACTCTATAGATTCTGGGTTAGTTGTAAAACAATGAATATGAAAGCAGTGTGTTGACAAGAATTATAAAATGGCATAAAACTGGAATACAGCAGAGCCCCGCTTTACGGCATTCCATTAATAGACATTTCAAACCATACCCCCGGCCGGGATTGAACCCGCGGTCATAGAGTCATGTAGACATTTCAAATTATGATCAAAACTCTATATACTGCTCCTCCCACTTGACTTTCTAGTACGGTCACCACGCACCACCCAATTTGTTTACACTCTCCGTTAGCACATCTCTCCATTATGTCTGGAAATTTTTGAAAATTTCAAGTGTTTTAAAGTTATTGCGTATTTTATATGTACTCTGATAATTATACTTATGTGTACCTATACCTAAATAAAGTTACACACAATGCTATCATGCAGGTACACATTAAAATCTAAGTGTCCCTCTAGTCTTGACGCCATAGTAATAATAATAACACTACAGTGGAACCTCTACTTGTGAGTTTAATCCATTCCATGACCTTGCTTGCAACTGGATTTGCTCGTTTGCAGAGTCAATTTTCCTCATTTAAATTAATTGAAATGCAATTAATCCGTTCCAGTGGAATTCTGTACTTCAATAATTTCGCTAATATCAACTCTACGGCTTATTTATCTATCTCACTTCATCTAATATGACATAATAAACAATATAAATAACATACAAACCTGATATATACTCTAAAATGAATAAAATATGTCATTCATGTAGTGGTATGGGTGGTGTCGGCGGTGGACGAGTTTGTCTGGAGACCGGGCAAAATACTTCATGAATAATTTCTCTAATAACATCTACACCTACCATCCGGCTTACGACCTGCTCGAATTACGACCACTCGACTTGCAACTGTGTTTTTTATGCCAAATTTCTGGGAAATAAACAACTATTTGTTCTGTACACAGTGTTTATCCTAAACCTTACAGTATAAAATACAGTACTAACAGCATAAAAAGTAAAGTAAAACATGAAATACCAAAATAAAACAATAAAATAAAGTCATTACAAAAATGTGATGTTGACATTCGGTAGTAAAGTTCGACTTACGACCGGTTTCTCGGAACCGAACTCGGTTGTAAGTCGGATGGTAGGTGTATATGGCTATTTATATATCACAGTTCATCTAACATGACACAACAAACAATAAAAATAACAGAAATATGATATATACTCTAGAATGAATAAAATACATGTATGTCATTATGTAACAGGTGGAGGCAGCCACAACCGCTCCCTCTTTGTTGTGGTAAACACTGCCATCTAGCGACGGCCTTTTGAAGCCGTCTATTATAATTGTTATATGTAGTACATTATTATTATACATGTACAGTAAGGCCCCGCTTTATGACGTTCCGCCAATATGGCGGTCAGATTATGACCAAAATTTGCTATACGGCAAGCGGTCTTTTAAATACGGCGCCCCCACCCGGTTTGTTTACATTTTCCGTGACCACATCTATTATGTCAGGAAACTTTCCAAATTTTCTAGTGTTTTAAGGTTACTGCATATTTTATATGTACTCTGATAATTATACTTATGTGTACCTGTACCTAGATATACTTACACACTGTGCTGGTGTGCAGGTACACATTAAAATTTTTAAGTCTCTCTCTACTCATGACGCCAATACTTCGTAATAATAATCACTCTTGGGCACGCTAAATGTCTTATTTTACATCAATATAAGCATTTTCATTAATCCATCTATGATATTTTCCTCAAAATTATATATGAAACCCATTACATAGCATATAAACATGATACATACATGCAGAATAAAAATTGATGTAAATATAAGATTTGTTTACAAAGCAGCTGTGTAGGTAGTGTCGGAAGAATTACGTTTTCTCTAGTCAAACACTGGGGGATAACTGTAGAAAAATATTCTTTTCGTATGCCTTTACTCTATGTATAGCAATTCACGACCCTTGTGGGTTTAGTGCTTTTTATAAATAATAATAATTATTATTATTAATATTAATAATATTATTATTATTATTATTATTATTATTATTATTATTATTATTAATATTATTATTTTCATTCACTCTAAAAATGGTGTGTTGCTGTTTGTTTATTCTGAACTAACTTGTACAACTTGTACACAATGTAAGAGTATTTGTATTGTGAGGTAATTATTATTATAATAAAAAAATATTGAGGTAAAAGTTTTACAAACTCTTACAAACATACGTGAATGAACTAAAAGTAGACACATATTAATACGCATTTACTATTTCGCCTGACCAAGTGATCGCCCACTACCTGTTCAGTTTGTGTTCTTACATTGTCTCAACTCTGTATCTCGTTCTCTCTCTCATTTACTCTTTCGTTAACTAGTTGGCTCTCATTGACGATGGCATCTAAGGTTAGCTGTAATAAAAAGAGAAGTCGTAAGCTTGCTTTAATTGCCAAGTTAGAGGATGATGGTGTGCCATTCTGATGTTATTCAATAAACACCCTGCCACTCACCTCTCACACATTAATATTAATATTTTAAGGTAAGTAATAAGTGTACTCTTTGTGTATCTTGCCTTTTATTGTGTTTTTAATGCCTATTTCTATTGCTAACTTAATATAAGTTAGTGTAAACTTGTTGTCTGGCACTTATTGCATATTTTATATGCTCTGATAATAATACTTGTGGAGCTGGGTGGAGGGACAACATTACATTTTCTCTGCTCAGCCATCAGAGAAAACGTGTATGAATCTGTGTTTGGCCCAGCCACTCCCCCACTCCGCTTTTGTTTACAATTTTCGGCATGAATTATTCATTACTTCTACCTTCGTTTATGATGGCATCTAAAGGTAGTTGTTAGAAAGAATTAAATTCAGTGAACAAGGCATGTCGATGTTAATAATATGGCTCTGGGCCACACTGTAGGTAGCCGGTAGGTGTAGCCCAGGCGGGCTACACCTACCGGCTACCTACACTAACTTTATACAAATAAATACTACTCACCTCTCTTACTATATTAAGACTACACATATTTTAAGGTAAATAATGAGTGTCCTGTATGTGCATTTTACCTCTCTGGGATGTTTTAAATATCGTATATTAAGTATGAGACGGGGAGCCAGGGCTACCTACACCTGGGCTACCTGCACCTGACTTCCTACAAATAAGTACTACTCACCTCTCTCTCTACATTAAGATTACAAATACTTTAAGATAAGTAATGAATTTACTGTGAATGTATTTTACTTTGTGTGTTTTTAATGCCTAGTTCTATTACTAACTTAATGTAATTTAGTGTAAAATTGTTTTCTGGCATTTATATGCATTTATAAATGGAAAAAAATGGAGTTCTGCCTTCCAGCGATGTCTGCTTTCCGGCGACAGCCTGGAACCTAACCCGCCGTATAAGTGGGGCCCTACTGTATATGTATTACAGTGGACCCCCGCATAACGATGGCATCACATAGCGATTATTTCGCATACCGCTTACTTTAATCGCAAAATTTTTGCCGCGCATACCGATTAAAAACCCGCTCACCGATTTTCGTCCGAGACGCGTCCAATGTGCGCCCTCACCCAGCCTC